AATGGGGTATATTGGTAAAATTGGATTTCTAAGATTACTGAATAGTTATATTATGTTATATAAATATATCTGTATTTTAGATATTAAGTGTTAATCCTCTGTTTTAGTAGAATTAGATTGATTGTTATAGTTGATAAGATAAGTACAGTTAAAAAAAAAAGAAAAGATATGTATTGATAACAAGGAGTTCTTCTAGGTTAGGAAGTTAGAATGGTTGAGATGTGTCAGTTTGTATGTTGGAATTTAAGTATATTGTATGTACACATGTTCATGTGTAGCTTTGAATTAATCGTTTGTATGTATTTTTATGTTAATTAATTAAAAAATTGTTTTAAAAAAAGCCAACTGTCTTAAAGAGACATATGCCACTTTACTATGTGTATGAAACATATTCCATTATGTAAACATGCCAAATTAGGAGAAAAATATTCAAATGACATTGAAATCCAGGAGTTTCACAGAAGACTGACACTATCCAAACAAGATGACATTAAATTAAATTTAATTGGAGATCCTTTTTCTGTGGATCCACAAAAACTCCTTGTGCATTTACAGCTACAGGTAATTGAACTTCAGTGCTCAACAGTTTATTGAAATAAACACAGAGAAACTAGCCTTCAAGACTTCTTCAAGAGTTTAGACAAGGGAAAGTTTAAAAATCTGTGAGATGGTGCTTTACAGGTTTTCAGCACATTGAGGAGTACCTACATGTATGAACAAACCTTCTCCATTATGAATTTGAATAAAAACAAGCAACGATCAACTCTAACTGATGAACACTTGGAAGATATTTTGAAAACATCAATTTCAAACATGATTCTGGAGTATGATAAACTGATTGCTGGCAAGAATCTCACTTACATCCCATTAACTAAATGTAAATAGTGAGAAAACCTGGAAAATATATTAAAACTTGTAGCAATTAGCAAAGTAATTTTTAAAACATTAATGTGATTTCATGATAAATAAAAATCTTAAGTAATAAGTGTATTTAATTGATATTAATTTAATTTTCCCTTTTTATAATATGGTTTATTTGCAAAATAGTTTAATCATTCATTATACCTCTACTTGGAAAGTGAGCTGCTAAAAGCCTATCTGTGGCCCAAAGAAGTTTAGCCTATTTTAATTTTGGCCTTTATCTACTGCCAAGTTGTGCAAGTCTGTCCTAATATATATATTCACCACTTGGGAAATAAAATGTGTGGAATCCTTTATATATGAGTCTGACTGAGATACATATGGACATAAAAATGAATCGAGATACTGTTTCAGGGGCTCTAAAACAGAACCATTTCCAGAGCCAATGGGTCTCCCTGGAGGAGGCAACTTTATCTGTGAATTTTAGGAAGTATATAAAAAACGGGTCCCCTGAATTGTGATGTAAGTAAAAATCTAGTTGTGTAACATAAACCATGGGCTTCCTGGATTACTATTGTAGTAGTGAATGCTATTGAAGTACTTGGGTCTTGAGCCAAACTTTTTTGTAAATCTGATAAACATTCAATTGTCTACAAGTGTTTGTTAAATAATCATCCTTCTCTTAAAGGACCAGTGCTCTCCTCTTATCTGCCGGTCTAATTATAATCTTATTGTTAATTTTTGGTCTATTAAAAGTCTGTCACTGTGCATAAGTTAAATTGTTTCAATGAGAGTGAGACTGTTTTTCTTTCTCCTCAAATTGTTTCAGGACCAGTTACACAAATGCTGGATTAAAATGATAATGTAACACCTTAGGTATACATTGGACACAACTGTCTTAAAGGCACACAACAACAATAACAATGGGCCATTCTCTATTCAGGAGAGCCTTTTTAACACCAAGAAGCAATCAGAGAGCACTTCCTGAAGACTTCTTGGTGTTTTTTTTTTTTTAAGTTTTCCATGGACCTAAAATGCCCAGGGATGTCTAAAAATATGACAAAAATGCCTCTACACCACTAAAGACAAACTGGGGCCAATTTTTAAAAATGTTATTAGTATAAAACCTTTTTTTTTTCAGCTGGGGGCTCAGAGGGGCACATATGGCCCTCAGGCCACACTTTGCCCATCCTTGCTTTAAACAGTTCCTAAGATCTCTTTTATACTACAATCAGTCCTCCATATTCATGGATTCTGCATCCATGGATTCAACCACCCACAGCTTGAAAATATTGACCTAGAGTATTACAGTATTGTCTGCACTAAATATTCATGTCAAAGCATGACTCCATCATGATAGTAAAATTAAGCAATCACATCCCAATCTATTACTTTCATCTGATTCACCAGAAGGTTAATTGTTGTGCAACATAGTGATTCTGTCTCATAACTAATTTAAAAGATTTCTTTTTCCCACTTGAACCTTCCCATCTCCTCCATCTCTATGGAGGCTTTGTTCATAGGACATCAGAGATGAAGGTGGTGAGGAGGGAGGTCATAGAACCACCAAATCATAGAATCATAGAGTTGTAGAGACCTCAAGGGTCATCCAGTCCATAGCCCTGCTATGCAGGAACTCACAATCAAAGCACCCTTGACAGTTATCCATATGCCTAAATATTTAACTTTATTTTTAATCTTAAATTGTGAGGTTTATGTCAAAGCTAGCTCTTCCTTTTCCAGTTAAATTCTTTGTAATCTGTTGTTTTTCTATGTTAATTTTGAAACCCATCATGTCTCCAAATTCATTTAATGTCTTCAGTAGTTCCTCAATGTTATTCGGTGGGTCTTCTAAAAATATAACTAAATCATTGGCATATGCTTTAATTTATAATTTTTATCCTTTAATTTCAATCCTTGTATGTTTGCATTTTCTCTCAAGTTGTAATTCAAAAGTTCTAATATCATGATAAACAATAAAGGAGATAAGGGGCACCCTTGTCTCATTCCTTTTTCTATTCTAAGGACTTTTGTCTTCTCTCCATTCACCAAGATCTGTGCAGATTGATCTTTATATAAAACATCTATCCATCTCAAAAAAAAAAATCCCAATGTTGATTTCTTTTAGCAGTTCTTTTTTTTAAAAAAAAAAAAAATCCAATTCACATTATCAAATGCTTTTTCTGCATCTAAAAATATCAATGCAGCTTTTCTCCCCATTATAACATTCATAATATTCAAAACTTGCCTGAAACCTAAAAGTTGTCTATGGGGGGCTGCAGATGGGTGGCTCTGGGCCACCCCAGGAAACGGCAGATTGGGGCTGCGGCAACCCCACACCGTGGCCCTGAACCTCCCTTTTGCTGCCCCGAAAAGAGCAGCAAAATGCCGCTCCTTTCAGGGGTGGCAAAAGGCCACCCTAAGAGCTGGCGAGCAGCTCTTCTTCACCCTTACTGGTGCAGTGTGTTTGAACGCTGCACTGGAAGAGCGTCCTGATGCCGTGCGCTGTGTGTAATGGCGCATGGCATCAGGACACCGTCAGCATGAGGTTGGGGCGGCTGGTGTGCGGCTGCCCCACCCCAGTTTTGCCTCCAGGCTGGCCCTTTGGGCTGATCTGCAGAGGCCCTAAGGTGCCTGCTTGCATATAATGTTGGATTCCAAAGGGATCAAAGTCCATTAAAGGGGTAGACTTCCAGAAAGATTTTGGCAGCTTGGAGGGCCAGAGAGTAAACATTATCCTTAGTGACTACATCATTAAGAGAATTTGACTAATAGTGCAAATTGAGGCCATTTTAACTGTCCTGGCTCAGTGGTAGGGAATCATGTGAACTGTAGTTTATTGTGGCACCAGAGCTCTCTGACAGAGAAGGCTCAATGTCTCAGAAAAAAAAAATACAATTCCCGTGATTCCCTAGCACTGAGCTAGAACAGTTAAAGTGGACTCAATTTGCACTATTTCTGGCAGTCTGCAAAGTCCCTAAGAGTAGACAATTCTATCAGTACTATAGATCGTCTCAATCTAACTGACAGTATCAGCTTGTTTGTGTTGCTGGGAATGTAAATCTTCTGAGTCAGTAAGACAGTTAATTGAGATAAAGAGGTCAGTTGGTGCCAATGAACTTCAATGTCTGAACAATTAATTTCCACTGCTCAGAGAGTAGTTTTAGGTGGAATTCAGTTGGATTAACATTTGTAGGCAAGGAAACAATTATCTTAGGACTGAACAGCCAGTGATTTAGGACTCATCTCCATTTTGCAACCTGAATGTTCAAGTACTAAAAATCTGTTCTGAGTTGAAAACTCTGACAGACAAGGTCTTTGCTGGGCAACTGGACCTTTGCAGACTGCCAGAAATAGTGCACATTAAATTGAGGCACTGCCCTGGCTCAGTGCTAGGGAATCATGAGAATTGTATTTTTTTCTGAGACATTGAGCCTTCTCTGTCAGACAGCTCTGGTGCCACCCTAAATTATAGTTCCCATGATTCCCTAGCACTAACCCTAACCCTAAAAGTGGACTCAGTTTGCACTATTTCTGGCAGTCTGCAACCCCCCAAAGTTTTCAATCTTAGACTACCTAGCATCAGATGAGGCTCTCTTTGCAGAAGAACCTTTAGCAGCAGTTGGGATTACTTTTTTCCTCTTCCCAAACAAGGGTGAATCGGCTTGACTACTTGGGGATGGTGGAGACACCATCCTTTTCCTTCCTTTGATATGCTTTGTCTCGAAGGCCAGTTAACAAAGTTTATATAGTTCTTTGTTATTTTTGTTGTCTTGAATTATCTTTAGTTGAGCTCTGTTGCTAAGCCTTGTTACTAGTGGGAATAGATAATCAGTAAAATGTAGCTCGCACAACATATAGTTCAAAATGCTTCCCCCAGAGATTCAGCAAACACGGATAGGCAGATTTAAGGAATGAACAGAATCTTACTGTAATTCGAGGGCTTATTTCTGAGCTTAAATGTAAACTTAAACTTGGACCTTCAGTTAGCAACTGAAGCAATAAATTTATTAAGGCTTTTCTAGCTATCTCAAAGAGGCACAAGTTCCCACCTCTCTGTCGCCATCTTGGAATGGCTTGCTAGTAATTTAATTTACTGTGTTAAAATTCATGTAAAATAGGAGACTGTAAAAATATGAGCCAGCATGATGTAGTGGTTTGAGCATTGGACTACAACTCTGGAGACCAGGGTTCAATTCCCAGTTCAGATATGAAACCCACTGGGTGACCTTCAGCATGTGACATACTCTCAGGACGTTATCACATGTGGGCCAGAAAGTGAAAATAAAGTGGAAATGAGGCATTCTGAAAATAAACGGAAAATAAACCTTAATTCTGCAAACTTCATTACCTTAATTGCGAATTTACAGTAAGCGCATTTAACATTCACACACAAGTGAAAAAAGCCCATAAATGTACTAGAAATGATCTTCTTGCACATGCACAGATAGAGGAATGCTCGCTGGAACAATGGGAAAAACAGGGAAATGCTCCCAAATTCGCATTTGCTTTTCACATTACAGTAAATGCGAAATTACTTTAATTGCGCATTTGCATTTCCTCCAAACAACCAAATTTCAAAAGATCGCAGTTAACACCAGTTTCTGTTCTCTTTCTGTCCAGTTTCTGTGTGACGTCATGTGAAAACACGGGGCACTAATCCAGTTTCTGTTTGGGTTTTGTGTGGATTAACCAGCAGATTTGCCCCCATGTGATAACGTCCTATGCCTCAGAGGAAAGCAATGGCACCTCCTCTGAACCAATCTTGCCAAGAACCCCCCATGATAGGTTCACTTTAGGGTTGCCATAACTTGGAAATGACTCAAAGGCACAAAACAACAACAATATTTATGGTAAATATGGTAACAGGGCTAATGTTTTATCATTTTAAGTTGCAAGACCTATGGATACCTCAATAGAGCAGACTTCTGAAGAATGGGTGTGTGAAGGGAGGAGATGGGCAAGCCTGGTTGGAACAAGTCCACAGTTTAAGTCACAATTCAGGGAATGCTGTGAGGAGGGGCTCAGGGGGGAAAAGAAACAATACTGAGGCTTGTCTCTAACAGGCAGATGGGGAAAGATGGTCTAGAGATAGGAAAAAGCTGTAATAGAGATAGGACAATCATTTGGGGGGAAGAAATGAATTCGATTTTAGGGAGCTGTGATAGATAAATATTTATTGCAATCCCAAGCCAGTATAAGAACAGCAAAATACAGCATACAAAATACAATCAAAAACTCATAGAAGAAGTGAAATACATAAAAATAACCTAAGAAATACAGATACAGATAAGCATTTATCAGAGGACAGAGCCCATCTAATCCTGACCAATACCAACTAGAAATTCAATTACTAATCCATGGTGCAAGTCATCAGGTGATGTAGACAAGTTCTAGTTTCCCCCCACATTTAGCTATATATATTTAGCTATAGAATATATATATTTAGCTATAGAAATACAGATACCACTTTAACTACAAGGGAGTTCCACACAAAGTGTTTGTGAATCTCAGGTTATGAATCACAGGGGGGTTGCAGACTGCCAGAAATAGTGCAAATTGAGTCTACTTTTAGGGTTAGGGTTAGTGCTAGGGAATCATGGGAATTGTTTTTTTCCTGAGACACTGAGCCTTCTCTGTCAGGCAAAGAGTTCCCAAGGAAGAGGACATCATAGATTGCAGTAACCACTGGACCATTCCATTAATTTCCTATGAAAGCAAAGTAATGGATTTTGTTCAAAATCCTACAACACTTTTACCATATATGGAGTGAGAAATGTCAAATGTCCAAGCTGAGTTCAGGAAAGGAAGAGGTATTAAGAATCATTTTGCAAACATATGTTGGATAATGGAGCATACCAAAGAATTTCAAAAAAAATCAGCCTGTGTTTATAAATTATGGCAAAGCCTTTGTGTAGGTCATGAAAAACTATAAGGAAAGGCATGTGTTACAACTGTAAAGTGTCTGTGTAATCTATACTCAGAACAAGAGGAGAAACAGAATGGAGAAACAGAATTATTTCCAATTGACAAGGCTGTATTTTATCACCTTATTAATATGTACTCTGAACATATAATTAAAAAGCAGGATTAGATTTGGAGGGTGGATGTGTAAAAGTTGGAGGAAGGTACATCAACAATTTAAGATATCCAGATGACACCATATTACTAGTAGAAATTAGCAAAGGCTTGTAACATTTACTGAAGAAAGCCAAGGAAGAAAATGCAACGGCAGGTTTACAGATGAACATTATGGACGTTATCACACGTGGGCCAGAAAGCAAAAATAAAGTGGAAATGAGGCATTCCGAAAATAAACAGAAAATAAACCTTGATTCCGCAAATGGCTTTCACACGTAATTATCTTAATTGCGAATTTACAGTAAGCAAATTTAACGTTCACACACAAGCGAGAAAAGCCCATAAGTGTACTAGAAATGAGCCTCTTGCACATGCACAAATAGAGGAATGCTCGCTGGAACCATGGGAAAAGCAGGGAAATACTCCCAAATGCACATTTGCTTTTCACATTACGGTAAATGCGAAATTACCTTAATTTCGCATTTGCATTTCCTCCAAACAACTGAATTTCAAAAGATCTTGGTTAACACAAGTTTCTGTCCACTTTCTGTCCAGTTTCTGTGCGACGTCATGTGAAAACGCGAGGCACAAATCCAGTTTCTGTTTGGGATTTGTGTGGATTAACGAGCAGATTTGCCCCCGTGTGATAACATCCTAAGAAAACAAAGAGCCTTTACCAATTGCCAGAAATAATGCAGCTTTAACTGCCCTGGCTCAGTTCTAGGGAATCATGGGAATTGTAGTTTTTTTCTGAAATATTGAGCTTTCTCTGTCAGAGAGCTCTGGTGCCACAATAAACTACAGTTCCCATGATTCCCTAACCCTAACCCTAACCCTAAAAGTAGACTCAATTTGCACTATTTCTGGCAGTTTGCAACCCCCCACAGTGATGCATAAAGTAATACAAGCATGTCTCATTTCAGGACAAGCATATCTGTTTGTCTTGCCTTATCACCACAAGAAAAGCAGCAACGGGGAGGTGATGAGAGATGTGATATGATAGTCAAGTTTAGATATTTGAAGGAATGTCATATTGAGGATGGAGCTAACTTGTTTTCTGCTGCTCCAGAGACTAGAACATGGAATAATAGATGCAAACCACAGGAAAAGAGATTCCACCTCAACATTAGGAGGAACTTCCTGACAGTAAGAGCTATTTGACAGCAGAATACATTCAGTTGGAGAGTGGTGGAGTCTTGTTCTTTGGAGGTTTTTAAACAGAAGTTGGATCTGTCGGAGGTGCTTTGATTGCGGGTTCCTGCATGACAGAAAGGGGTTGGAGTGGATGGCCCTTGTGGTCTCTTCTGACTATGATTCTGTGAGAGGGAAAGAATGAACAGAATAGCAAAAGTGACTCAGTGAAAATGTCAACAAAGGACAAATACAACTGTGTGTTGTTGCTATGGAAATGTTCTATAAAAGGAAAGGAAGGTGTCGTGGTAATCGTAATTAACTGTGGGGCAGAAACATTTGCAAGCCTCTTTGCCTTGAACGATTTAGCAGGAGGCTGAAGCAAAGGTATGAATCCCCTTTTCCAGGAAAAGCAAAGCCAGAACTCACTGTTGTTTTCCTATGTGATTATGTATGTATGTGTATATTTCAAGTAATTTTTATGACAGCCATAAAAACAAAAATAAAACAAAAATAATGACCACCAGTTATCTAAATAACTTTAAAGTGAATGATGAAGATTTTCTATACCTTGACCTAGTCATTAATCAAAATGGAGACTGTATTCAAGAAATCAAGACTTGGAAGAGCAGCTATAAGGAACTAGATAAAACTAGAATCATAGAATCATAGAGTTGGAAGAGGCTACAGGGGCCATCCAGTCCATCCCCCTGCCTTTTCTCTATCCCTTGTTAGAATTTCTCCATCTTCTCTGTGCAGTGGCCCTACCATTTCCTTCTTTCTTTTGCTACAGACAACAACTTTTTGTTGTTCTTAACCCCTCTAGCAAGCTTGAGCTCATTCTGTGCTTTGACTTTCCCAACTTTAGACTTACATGTGCTAGCAATTTGTTTGAATTCCTCTTTAGTGATTTCACCCCTTTTCAATTTCTTATACTTCTCCTGTTTAAAACTTTAGTTCAGTTGAAAGTTCTTTTGTCATCCAACCTAGTTTCTTGGGACACCTCCCATTTTTCTTTCTCATTGGAACAGTTTGAGATTGTGCCTTCAGTATCTCCCTTTTGAGAAACTCCTATCCATCCTGAACTCCCTTCTCCTTTAGTATTCCTGACCATAGGATCACTCCCAGTGTTTCCCTAAGTTTATTGAAGTCAGCTCTCCTAAAGTCTAGAATGAGTGTCTATGAATGAGAATCATCCATACCATAGTATTTCCAGTTCCTATGTTTGGTTGTTAAAGTTGAACAGTGAAGAAAACTGACAAGACGACAATAAACTTGTCTGATATGTGGCAATAGAAGATAGTTCTACACATATCATGGGCCACCAAAAAGACAGATAAAAGGGCCTAAGAGCAAATTGAACTTGAATTTTCACTGGAAGCCAACATGACTAAACTAAGGCTATTCTACTTTGGACTTTTCACAAGGCAACATAATTCATAGGAAACTGGAGTGTCACTCAGGTAATGTGGACCACACCAGGTGACACCATAAAGGGGGGTGATGACACCACTTCTTCCCAAATACCTGCCTTTTGGTAGAAAGGAGCTGTGGTGTTCACTTGCATCCCTTTAAAATGCTGAAGAGATGGTGTAAGTGAAGTGAGACTCAACTGAAGGAGAAAGAAATTTTTAGAAATTTTATTATAACATTAAAATTTTATTTTTTAAAAAACATAATTATTACTTTAATTTTTTCTTTAAAAATATCACAACTTACCAAATTTTCACTTTAACCAAATGAAACTAAGTACATGTAAATACATTTAGGTTGTGCATATGATATTGTAATTTAAAGGTTAATTTTGCTGGATATTTATGTCACAACTATTACCATTACATTCAGTGATGTATGGAAATTATGATTTATGAGTAACATTAGTACAAAAAATATGACTAACGATACTGCATGGTGTGGTATGGGAGCTGGTCACTTTGGGGCAGGGTGATACCATGAGTTAATGTACTGGATAATGCCAATCCGAGTGACACCACTGATT